GGAGCATTGAGGCCCAGAGAAGTGACATCCATTCTCCAAGGTTGTAGGAGTCGGACTCCCAGGTCCTGAATCTGAACCTTGAAACTTAGGGCCTTCCCAGCCCCCAGATGGCTACGCCCATAGAAGCTTGGGTTTGCTGGAGACCTCAGGCATAGGTCCTTCTCCCCACTTCTCCACCTCCTCTAGTGCTGCCTGAACCCCTATGGCAGTGCGACCGAGCAAGCCTGGGGGACAGAGTGGGCAGCTCCCCTTGAGGGCCTCGGGACCCACTCCAGTGGGCCAGCTCCCTTGAGCCTACCAAACAGGAAGCTGGGGTGGTGGGCGTGCTCAAACAACGCCCGATCCAACTTCAATGGGACTGTTCTTAACCTCCACCCCAGCGGCCTTCCCTAATCTCCTTGAGCCTCTCTCCTGGCGACATCTCCTCCTCGTACAGAGCCTGCTGCCAGCTAAATCCCAGGCCAGACATGAGTACAACAGTCTGCAGCCCCTCTGCACCATGGGCTTTGGAGGCTGGCCAGCAGCACAGACCCCTTCCCCATCCCAGCTTGCCAAAGTGAGGTGCCGATGGCCAAGATGTGAACAATGAGCCCCTCTTAGAGGTGGCCTATGGGAGAAGTTCCCTTCTGAGCCCAACCAGGAGCAGGCTCCGGGCTGAGAGTCTTGCCTTAAAGATGCAGGTGGCGGAGAAGCACGCTATAGTCCAGGCTACCGGCCTCTCGCCAGCACGTGACCTCATCAGGCTTCTCACCAGCACGTGCGCCTCGGCAAACACCGGGAACACGTGCTGCTTCCCAGAGCGTCCGCGAGGGTTAAAGGACTCCTTTTCACACGGTGGACTTCAAACAGTGCTTGGCATACGGGAACATTCAACAAATGTTTCCTATTATTATAATAATTATCGCCACCGTGACACCGCTCGAAAGCCCTGCAACATTAGTACTATAAACCCCATCTCACAGCTAAAGAAACTGAGGCCCCAAGAGATGTCACCTGCCCAAGCTTGCCAAGGTAGGCCCTGACGGACACCCAGAATCTGGACCCAAACTGAGTGAGTCCACAGATGATGAGGACAGACCCCCAGTTCCCTGGAGCTGAAGCACAGACGGGGTGCATGGGTGGGGAGGGGGTGCTCACACTCCCTTGGCCCCTCTTCCTGACCCAGTCTCTGCAGCGCAAGCCCCTGCTGCTGCAGGAGGGGATCTGCGTTCCAGGCTAAGCAGCAGGATTTGCTGTGCTCCCGGAACTATGAGAAGAATGTCTGCAGTGAGCTGAGCGGTGGTGGCCTGTCAGAGGGAGTGTGGCCCAGAGGGAGGGAAGGAGAAGCAGCTTCCTGGCAGGGAGGGCTTCCAACTCTGGCAGGGGTGGACACCTAAGAGTCAGCCTCCAGGAACTTTCCAGAGAAGACAAAGGACCTTCCTACCCTACCACATCCATGGCTCATGTGAGGAGAGCCAGGTGCTTATGGACTGGGCGAGCCAGAGAACGCCC